CGGGCGGGGAGGGCCGTGGGGTGGGTCCGGCTGCGGGTGGGCACCGGTGTGGGCTGCACAAGGCACTGGGTGCCGTGTGCGTGGGAGTCCTGCCAAGGTGAACCAGCTGGGGCACGTGGGGCAGACCAGACTGGCAGATGCAGGCACAGGTGTGCGATGCCTGGGGAGACCCTCGTCTGCAGAGTGCACGTCTTCCTATTGGGTGGGATGGTGCACATCTGTTTGTGCAAGGGGGGCTAAGCTGGGCAGGACATGTGACGGGCTGGGATCCTTGCTGCTTGTGTGTGACAAGGGCAAGCGTGCTTGGGGGAGAGGGGCCAAGGACAGGCAGGCATGCGTGGGCCAGGGCAGATGGGTGAGCTGCAGAGAATGGTCTAGTAGGATGCATTCGTGTGCTGGGAGGGAGGATGTGTGCTGGAAACATCTGGGCAGAGATTGAGGGGGGGTGCAATGCTCTGGGTTAGGCCTGGTGGGGGGGGCGCAGAGGTCAGATGGAAGAAATCTCGCCTGGCATGTGAGTGGTCTGAGCCTAGCACAGGATGGGGGCAAGAGGTGGTGTGCAGGTGGGCGTGTACTGATCTTAACCAGTAATGCAGGTGCTGAGGGGGAATGGTCTGTTCCAAATGTGTATGTGGGTAGGAGGCAGCAGAGCGATCTAAGTTGTGTCTATGCATGGGCAGGGATAGTGGGGGCAGTGGTCTGTGAGGCATGCAGTGACCCAAGTTGAGGCCAAATTATTGGTGATACGTAGTGGGTGCATGTGCATCCCGTGTGAGTGCTGGTGCACCCCCTGACTGGCCGCACTCGCCGCTCAGGTCGCTGGGGGTGGCACCACAGAGGGCTCCCCCCCCACCCCCCCCTTGCTTCTAGGAGCACCGCAGCTGCTTTGTGACAGGTCACTGACTTGTCGCTGGGGGGGGCCACGTGCCCCCCCCTACTAAGGTGGCACCAGTCACCCATTGGCAAAATGGTCTCAGCTTGGTGTAGGGATGGGCTGACATCAAAAGGGGCTAGGCCAGGGTTGTGGGGGGAAATGGGCGCTGCCAGGTTTGAATATGGCAAGAGGTTGTGGGGAGGATGGTCTAGGCCAGGTGTGTATAGGCAGGGATCTGGGGTGGGGAGGGAAATATTTTGGGCTGGGATTGTCCCTGTACATCAGGGTGCAGATTATTTCTAGGTGAAGGGGCCAGCTGTGTTTGGGTGGGATAGAGCAGTGGTGGGTGAGTGTTGTGGGGCACATGCAAGCTAGGCTGCAACGGGAAGAGTTGTGGGAGTAGGCCTAAGTCAGGTTGGTCTGTTGGGATGCATGTGGACTGGGTTGTATGTTGTAGTGGATCTAGGGTAGGACAATGTGTGGTGGGATTGACTCTTGGGATTGATTGAGGCAAGGCATGAAAGTGAGTCAGGGGAGGGAGTGGTGTGCATGGGCTACGCTGGAGGTTAGGTATGGAGCAGGACTGGCAGTGTGCTGTAGGCTGCGTCTACTTTTTCTTGCTATGTGTTCGCTGTTTTGAGGGGAGAGGCTGCTGTAGACTGTCAGCTGAGACTATAGGGGAATTGCAGCTGTTGTAAGAAGCAGATGGTGTGAGTTTTGGGCGTGGAGCAGGGTTGGGTGCCACAAATGGTGAGAGTTTGTGCAAGGGTCCATCTCTGAGGTTGGGGGACCCAGGTGCATGTTGGGAGTTGCTGTGCTGAGATCCTGGGCTCGTGGGATTGCTGACCACAAGCAGGAGCCCTTTCTGAAGTCTGCCTTTCCTTGTGGCAGGCTGCCAGGCGGGACCAAGCATGTGCCAAGGCCTGCAGTTTTCTATGGAATCCCAGAGCGAGCATGCACGTGTTGCATCCCCTTGATCCGTGCCCTCAAGTAAAAGGTTTTCTTGTGCTTAAGACTCATTGTGGTGCAGACACAGCAATGTCCTGTGCTATTGGCAGCAGTTCAAATATATAGGAAGTGGAGGAATTCTCTTCATTTGGGCAGGTTGATTTTCTGTGAGTTATAGGGGGACACCAAGTTTAGAACCAGTTTGAGTCGGTTTTAGATTCTGAGTGTTCTAGTTTGGCTGATACATTCCTCTGTGTCCCCAGCCTCAGAGCAATTGTGGTGCTGCTCTCCTCCAGCACTTCCAAAAGCCTCCAGTCTAGATAATCTAGGTTGCAAAGTCCAAATGCTGGTGAATAAGGCTGGCTTGTTGGGTGACGGGGCCACAGTGTTTGACCACGGGCTCCCAGGGAGCTGCTTTTCAAGAACTGGTATTCATTTGCAGAGTTTGGTATTTCTCAGGCCACCCGCTTGATTGTTTAATTTGTAGGGATTGCCTAGACTGTGACACATCTGGGTATTCTGAAGAGTTCTTGTGGCTCTGCACTGAGGGTCTGTGCAGGCATCTTGTCTTTTCTTAGGGTTATGCACTGTTTAATACGGATCTATCCAGTTCTAATCATCACACCCAGTCTCCTCTGGGAAAAGTGTATATGGGTTAGTGCGTTACTGAGCTATATGCAATGCCTCCCTAAGGCTCTTGGAATAGGGCTGGCTCCAAATCCCTCTTCTGTTCTGGGTGATCCAATTGAATCTTGCTCACAAACTTGAAATTCCAGAGCTGAATGGATCTCCACTTCAATAAAAACAAGAGTTAAAATTAGTTTTAGGTGCTTCCCTTGATTTAGGTGCCTCGTGCTAATGTAAATGGCTTTGAAGTCACAGGGCCTCTTACTTTTTTTTTTTATGTAATATATTTTTAATATATATTTTTTTTTTCCCATTGTATCTTGACCAGATCCAAGCAAAGTGGGGAAAATAGAGAGGCTTACCTAGCTACAGGAAGTCATGGAATATGTAAAGAAAAGAAACTGAAAGTACAGGTGTTTTTGTTTCCACCCCTTCAGTTTTTACAATTTTGGGCTTCCTGGTAACAGTCGTAAGCGAACATGTCTTGACCAAAAACAATTTCTGAATTTTTTTTCTTTATAATCTGGAAGGATTTCTGGGCAAACATTAGTGATGTGCAACAGCTCCAGGAGTAACAAGAATCAGGCAAGTCCAGTTTGACTTTGCTTGTGAATCTCAAAATTTCAGTGAAAACTTTTCTGTGAACCTTTCTCTGCAGCAGTTGTAACTGAAACCCACTAACCTCATGCTAGCACAGAGAAGCAGGATGTGAAATGTCATCTGGTCTGTTCTTGCCATCTGCACTAAATGACTCCCAAATAAGTAACTGAGCAACAAGCTGACAGTATCCAAGACTTTACCAATTCACTTTAAATTGCTATTAGCATTAATAGTCTAGTTAAGAACACTCTGAAACTTGGATCTTGAAAGTCCCTGCTGGCTCCAAACAAGTTGCCCGTGCAAAGTGTGGTTTTGTATGATTGTTTAAATCCCGTTTGGAAATTCTGCGAAACTGACTGGGTGTCTAAAAGTGCATCTGTTTTTGTGGAAGCTGTAATTTGGGGATGGGGGGGGAAATAGTTGAGAGGGAGCTGTGATATACTGAGCTCTGAGCCTCTATAGCAAACCAGTTGCTGCTCAGGTTGGAATTGATTATGCAACACAAACACATATATGATTCCCTGGGTTCAGTCTGGTGCCAGATTTCCTGAGGTGCCTTTGCTGAATGGTATTGATTAGTTCCGGTCCTGATGAAGGCAGTGGTGTTACAGAATATAAGCATCCTGTTGGCACCTTCTCACAGGGGAAGCCCAGGAAAAGGGGATAACTGATCTGATGAAGAGGGGCCACAAAGAGGCTCCTAGCAGCCTGGCTCACTTTGCCTTGCCTCAAGAACACCAACCTGGGGGCCAGCTGCCATGGAGAGCTAGGTCAGGATGCGCAAGTGGGAAGGCTCAAACACATAGGTTACTCGCACCAGCTGAATGCTAATGGGACAGCTCTGCATCCTGTGGTGGTGGATGCTGGAGTGTATGAGGGAAAACTGCTCCAGTCCAGCCAGAGGTGGATTTGCAAGGCTGTCATGTATTCAGAGCTTTTTAAAATCAGGCCAGCTTGACTTGCACCGCTGGCGCCCCTGCCCCCCCTGCGCGCGCGATACCTGGTTCATGTGTGCGTGGCCTTGGAGCAATGTCCTCAGCTCAGGGCTTGCAGCTGCTGGAGATTTCGCTTTCAGGAGATGCTCTGAAAACTTCAGGTTTCAGGGAGCACCAAGCACGACATTGCCCACAGGTAGTACTTGTTCAGGGCTGTTGACTGTGGAGAGGTGGCTGCTCAACAGTCTTTGGCTTTTATTCCTTTGTGAGCCACTCTGCTCCTGGGTCACAAGGTCCTTCTGTGCTTGCTGGCTTGCGCTGTCAGCTGATCTAGAGCCTTGTGTCTGTGCCTGGATTGACATGTGCCACTGAGTGTTCCACCAAGAGGGGCTGTGGGATAGCTAGACTTCTCTTGACCTCTACAGGCATCATTAGATGGTCTGCCATGAGGACTTGGTTCCCCTCACTGCCCCTTCAGTTGTGCTGGGCTCAAGTCTCTGGCTGGATGACAGTCAGACTGGGTTTCCTACACAGTGGCTGCTGTTATTCAGGGGAAGGGTAGTTGAAGCTTGGTACAAAGGAAGACCGGATGGGGAGCACAGCAGGCCCTGGGCCTGCCCCACGAGGGTCAGGACTCTCAATCTTATCTCCCACATGATCTTGGGGGCTGGGGCCCCTGGCTGAGCAACCTGGCCTTCTCCCTCCCTCGCCGTCTCCTGCCAGCCCAGGCAGGCAGCTAACGAGACAGCACTAGAGAGCAGCTTGGCAGCAGACCAGGCTGTCTGAATGAATAGGGTGCAGTGTTGTCCTGCTGCCCTGGTTTGGCATTGGGCAGGGCTTGTGCCAACTGAGCTCATTGCTTGAGGCCTGGCAGGGTCCTTAGAAGGCTCTTGGCCTGCTCTTTGCAGCCTTGCCATCAGCACAGCTTAGCGGCACCTCCATCTTGGGCCTTGCCATCAGCACACTACAGCTCATCAGGGACATCTTGAAGGTGCAGTGACTGTACTCAAGTGTTGCCTGGCACCAAGAGATAGCCAGTGCCACAGTGTAGGTGTGCCTGTGTGTGTGACCTGGCTGGCCAGGGAGAGGTGAGACAGAAATGGAGAGCCTAGGCTGGACTGGGCTGGCCATGGTGCATTTCCAGGTCACGTGAAATCCTGGGCCTCAGATCATCATTCCTGTCACCCAAAACACTCCCCACGGCTGTTACAAGGGCCTCGTGAGGAGCCTTTTGAAGCTGCCAAAGACTTTGCCCCTCTTGATGGCAAGGCATCTGCCTCTCCACAAGGGGTATGGCTAAGGCAGTGTCTGGGAGTGCAGCTTCTGGACCCTGGGTCTGTTGGCTTGGATCCCTGCCAAGTGCTCCTGGTGCACAGCTGGAGCAGACACCAGCACCCAGTCCTGCAGGCATGAGCAGAGCCATCTCCCTGAAGTCCTCTTGGTAACCCTGTCCACAGCAGAGTTGCAGTTGTGCCAGGCTAGGGTTGCTTTAGGCCTCCTTTAGTTTGATGGTCTCCTGGCTATCACCAAAGTGGATGGAGGTAGCCACTAGCATAGGCCTCTATAGCAGTTCATTCCAGCCTGTTCCTCTAAGACAGGTCACTGAGGGTATTAGAGAGAAGGCTGTTGTCAGGCCAAAGCCAGCATTAACACAGTGCATACAATGTGTGCACCCATTGTGTGTATACATTGTATACCTTGACTTCCAAAAAGCTTTTGATCTGGTATCCCATGATGTTCTCATGAGAAAATTGGAAGATTGTGGGCTTAACTGCAAGATAGGTGGGTAGGAAGCTGGCTGTGGGGTAGGACCCAGAGAGTCCTACTGAATGGATCTGTGTCATCTTAGCGAGAAATGGGCAGCAGCGTTCCTCGAGTTGGCAGTTGGTTCAGTACTTTTTAACATCTTTGTCAATGATTTGGATGAGGGAGTGAAGAGCTCACTGGCCAAGTTTGCAGATAACATCCAAGTTATGGGGAAGCGTGGTCATGCTCGAGCATAGGCTGCAGATGCAGGCGGACCTAGACAGGCTGGCAGGTTGGGCGGACCAGCACCAGATGAAGTTTAACATCGAGAAATGTAAATTGCTCCACCTAGGGATGAACAATCCCCTACACACCTACAGGCTTGGCAATGCCGATCTGACCAGCACTACAAATGAAAGGGACGTGGATATAATAATAGACCACAGTACGATTATGAGCCGTCAGTGCAGTGCTGTAGCCAGCAGGGCAAATAATACTCTGGCATGCATCAATCAATGCATCTCCAGCAAAACCAAGAAGGTGATTCTTCCACTCTACTCGGCATTGCTGAGACTGCAGCTGGAGTACTGCATCCAGTTCTGGGTGTTGCACTTCAACAAAGACATGGAAAATTTTGTGAGGGTCCAGAGAAGGGCCACCCATATGATCAGAGACTTGTGTGGCAAGCCATACAGGGAAAGGCTGAGGGACCTGGGACTTTTGAGCCTGAAGAAGAGAAGGCTGAGAAGGGACTTGGTAGCAGCTTACCGTTACATCTGGGGCATATGTCAAGAGCTCGGCGAACAACTGTTTACCAGGGCACCCTTGGAGAAAACCAGGAGTAATGGTCATAAACTCCTAGAAGACTGTTTCAGGCTCAGCATTAGGAAAACTTCTTCACAATTAGGGTGTCCAGACTGTGGAATAAGCTCCCTTCAGAGGTGGTGCAATCACCTACCCTGGAAATCTTCAAGAGGAGACTGGACAGTTACCTTGCGGGGGTCACCTGCTTGGTGCAGGGAGCTAGACCTGGTGATCTTCTAAGGTTCCTTCCAGCCTTGCAATGTATGAATCCATAACTCTATTAAACACCCAGCACCACATTCAAACAGACAGGAGGCTGAGACCATGTGGTCCTAGAATTCTAGTGCCCCAATCAGGAGGGGCAAGCACTAAGTAGGACCCTCTCTGGGGAGGCCCCACATACAGAAGGGAGGTATTTCTTATGGTTCCCTTAGACATGTACGTTAGATATGTAGTGTGGCACTTGTGCCTTTCTTGGGGGCTTGTATACATGTGTGGGTGCTGGCATCAGTCACTGAAATTGCCTGGTACCTGGGTGTAGGGCATGGCAGGCATGTGTGCTCCCTCCTGAACAGGCCAATATTGGTCTGCATGTGCCTGGCTGTTGCCGTCTCTCACCATCTTTGTTTGGCAGGGCTGTGCTGTGGATGCTGTTCCCCTTGCCCACCCACCCCAGCATTATGTCTGTCCCTGTGCAACCCCTCATGCCTCTCTTCTCTGTTCCTTTCTTCCAGGCTGACAAGCGGGCTCATCATAATGCGCTGGAGCGCAAACGCAGGGACCACATCAAAGACAGCTTTCACAGCCTGCGGGACTCTGTCCCGTCCCTTCAGGGGGAGAAGGTGAGTTTACTGAGGAAGCTGGAAGGCTCCTAGCTCGGCTGCCTCTGCCACCATTGCCCTCAGAAGGCCTGAGCTCAGAAATACAGGCCAGATGTCCAAGTGGAGGCTTTTCCCCCCTGCCCTGGAGAGACCCAGGGACAATCCTATGGTGCAGTATGACAGCAAGGCAATAAATGGAGCACTGGGGTTGTGTGGCATGTCCAGTCATGGAGCTGCAAGGTACCTGGGAGGTGTGAGACACTCTAGGGCCCTTGGTGCTGGGGATCCATGGTCCTCTGAGAAATTAAAACATCTCCATGGTTAAAGGAGAAGAGATCCTAGTGTGGGAGGTGAGCTGGACCATGGGGAGCTGGTGAGAAACGGAGCCATGAATAGAGAACAGCCTAAAAGGGAAGAAAAGCAGGGATGGTGCTGAGGTACTGGTGTCATGATATCAGAAGGAGTTGGGGCATGCAGCTCTTGCTGGGAATACACCAAGGGCCTGGGCAGGGTAGGTGCATGTAAATACCCTCCCACTCCCAGATAGCCCTGGAGTGCAGGTGGTGGCACCGACTGGGAGGAGCCTGTCTTTGTGATTGCCTGCAGTGTACAGTGCTGAAGTGCCCTGTGTCATGTGGACCAGCCTCTTTTGTGCTCGGAGCCTGTAACTGCTGTCCCCAGACACAGCCCTGACCAGTTGATACAACTCTAGACAGGTGTTCAGCCAGTACCTTGCTGTGCAGGCTATGCATATGCCTTCAGGACACAGCTGGGACTAAAGGTCAGCTAGAATCATAGAGAAGTGGGGTTGGAAAGAACTTCCAGAGGTCATATAATCCAACCCCCTGCCTGAGACAGGTTCGTCCCTCTCCAAATCATCCTATACAGATCAATTATCTAACCCAGGGGTCTGCAGCATTTTTGACCAGATTCCCAAAAACACCCCAACCCTGACCCATGCATCAACTTGGCTTGTCAGGGGCAGACAGCAAGGGGCCCAATCCTCATTGCTGGTGGTAGCTGCAGATGCACCCCAGGCAGGCAGCAGGGGAAGGCCTGGGGTTACATTGCCCCAGCCCCTTCCCTGCCCTGTGCCCCAAGGCGCACATGCAATCGCTGCCAGCACGGAGCCAGTGCCAGGATACTGGAGCCTGGTGCAGCTTTTGCAGCCTGCCCACTGTCTGTTGCAGCTGCCCAGAACCTGGGCTGGCTGTGACAAGTAGCCAGGAGGCTGCAAATGGCTGCACTGGTCTCCGGTACCATGGCGAGTAGACAAGTGCCTCTGGGTGGGGAGGGGCCTGAGGCAATGCAACCCCAGCCCCTCCCCTGCCACCCGGCTTAGAGATATGCATACAGCCACACTACCACAGAACCAGGCCAAGGGCTCCAGAGCTTGGTGCAGCTCTTTGCAGCCTTCCACCTGCCTGCCACAGCTGCCACGGAGCTCAGGATGCTTGCAGAAGGGCTTGGAACTTCCCAGCCACCTGGTGCCAGCATCCCGGGTTCTGTGGCCAGTGGTAGCAGCCTGGATCCCAGACTGGCTGTGGCATGCTGAGCAAAAAGGCTTGCATGGCACGTTTGCCAGGGCCTGCCAACTCCTAATCTAACCTCTTAATAAACCTACACAATCAACTCTGAGGCACTCCAAGACCTAACACCCTAAACTGTCACAGGTAAAGCAGGGGGACCACAGCAGCTAATGTCCCGCTGCTGTAAAAAGTTGGTAATACATGCTCAAGAGATCAGGAAGAGGGCCATACCTTCTTCTACAGAGGAAGGCAACCCCCCCACCCCCCTCCACCCCATAGTCCATATCAATTGACCATGGAGTAAAATTCTTTCCTGAACCCAAATATGGCAACCAGTCTGATCCTAAGCGGAAGTGGGCTAAGATTAGTTTCAGTTCGTTCAGGTCTCCCTGTTACAATATCTACATTCCAACCCTGTCTACCCAGCTGTGTGAAGACTCATGGAGGTGTTGCCTTGGGGGGTCAGGCCAACTCTCAGGATCTCAGTATTGTACTGTTGGGCAGGAGGGTGTGACACAATTGCACATATACAAAACACACACAAATCAATTAGGTACATACACACGCACACTACCAGCTCAAGCACATACACCTCCAAACCAGCCTAGGCACATACATACTTATCACCAATTCAAGCATATACACTATACACCCCAAAAGTTAGACACAGATCACTAATTCGTATATCGTGCACACAATGCCATGTATGTGTGTATACACTCACACAAGCAACTCAGATACACACACATTCAAAATAACCAGTCTAGGTTCATGCACATCTATCACCAGTTTAAGCCCATACATGCTACACACACCACATTTAGACAGAATCAGTTACCAACACCTGCACATCCAGTACACATACGTGGATTACTAATTCATATACCACACACACACACACAATGATATCTATATATGTATATATATGTGTATTCACTAATTCACACACATACCACCCACCTACACATACACACAGGTGAGTTCCTAAGTTGGGTGTTGTGATGTGTATGTATGCATGTGCTTGGTGTACTTGGGATACCTGGGGAAAGGTTAAGGTAAGAAAGTAGAAGTGTAGGGAGTTAAAGTTACCAGGACCGGGATTAGAACCAGTAGACTGCAGGGGCCTGGGCTGAAGAACTGAGGCACGGGGGTAACTTTAGGTTAATTGATCTTAATTGATTAAAAGAACGCCCAAAGCCTGCAGAACAGGGAAACATGCCAGCACAGAGTCTGGGACTGGAGCCAGAGCTATGGAGGTGCTGAAAAGGTAGGTGCTGGAGAGGGAAAGTGGGACTAAGGGAAAGTGTGGGTGTTAAAGAAGGGCTCTGGGTGTGGGGGAGCCAGAGGATGGCTCCAGGGTAGCTAGAGAAGTCTGGGAAGCTGCAGGGGGGAGGGGCTGAAAACAGAGAGATGGACAGCAGAAAATCACAGAAAAAGCAGCAGGAGAGACTGAAAGGCAGCGGGAAAGCAAAGAAAGGCAGCAGAAAGTCACAGGGAAAAGGCAATAGGAATTGAGAGGAGATCAGGAAACTAGTGGAGAGGGGTGGGGAGCTGGAATTGAGAGAGAATGAGGCTGGAATTTAAGATAGGGAAGGTACCTGGGATTCAGTAAAACATGACCCAACTCGGGGTTGCAAATGACAGTGGTTTTATTGAACAGGGGAGATGGTGACACAATGCCAAATTGGTTCCCTTGCGCACTCGCGCACTCTCGCACTCTCGCGCGCACACACACACACACACACACACACACACACACACACTGTCAGAAGAGGTCAGGGGCTGAAGTCCAGGAGGGGAGAGAGAGTCCAAATTGTAGGAGGTGGTGTGCAGGTAATATCTACCTATGCAGGCTGGAAGGGGTCCTTGTCCAGTAGGTGTTGTCCAGAGCAGGGTTGCTAGCAGGGCCTCTGGGTGGATAGGTGGTGTGGCATGATGCTGGTTCAGATGGAAATGGCGTTCCCACTGGGTCTGTCTTCACTGCCCCTTTTTATAGGGGCAGACCTTATGTGACCCTAGTGACAGGAGGCATGCCCAGGCAAGGGTCAGCCCTTGGTGTACTGAGCATGTGTGCTCCATGCAGAGATGTGCAGTTTCGGGTGTCTGTAATGGTGAGAGTTGCTGGTTTTGCAGGGTCTTTTGTCTTTCAAATGCTGGTCTTGTCTCTGTTCCTGGGTGAGCTCCATGGTTCCTGGGTGAATCAATGCGAGGTTATGACTCAGTCATTACAGGCCATTCAGTAGAGGGCTGCTACCATTGTATTTCAATTATTCCCACTTACACTCATTCATCGGGGAACCAATTTCTAGCTGGGGTCATCTATTCCTGCTTATGCAGGGGGTCGGACTCGATGATCTATTGAGGTCCCTTCCGACCCTAACATCTATGAATTTATATGGTAGGGGTACAGGACTCATACAGTTGTAACATGGGATGCCCAGGCAGAGGACAGAAGATGGAGGCTTGACATATAAAATGGAAACTTGACATGACTTTGGTTCACTTACAAACACAGGCCTAAACCATACGCTGTCCATATGAAACAATAAAAATCAGTACGAAAATTATAATAATACAATCTACAACAGTAAAAATCAATACAAACCTAATAATAATACAATATACAACAGTGGATATCCAAAACCAAAAACTTGCTACCAAAATAAAAATGTTTAAAGCTTATCCTACATCTTATCTTACTTATACTTATCTATAGGGAAAAGAGAGGGAGAGAAAAGGTCAGAAATGGTTGGGGAAGGTGGGGAATGCATTTTAAAATAAATAAATAAAAAAGAAACGGGGGTTTTGCTACAGAGGCAAAAGGGAGAGGGGCATGTCTTGCCACCTGCACTCCTGCTCCCTGAGGTGGCCTGGCAGCAAGGAAGGTCCTGACTTTAACATGGAACTTCATGTACCCAGTGTTGTTCCAGCATGTGCCAGCACCAGCCCCCTCAATAGAGCCAGTGGCACCACCACAGGTGCTCAGTCCTCCAGCTGCTCCACCAGCTCTGTGGTGCACTTGCCTGTTAGCAGCCCTGGTTCAGCCTGTCACGGGGCCTCTCCATAGTGTTAAAGAAGGAATAGGGAAGTGGCTGTGGCTCTAACTCTTGTGTAGGTCAGGTCTTGCCCAGCCACATTCCTGGATGTAGTTGCATGTGTGATGATGCTGCAGCTTAGCCTTTGGCTGGCACACCCTTGACTGCTCACCTCCACAGCCAAGACTTTGAGGAAGGGGATGGGAGAGTCTAAGGTCCCAAGTCCCCTTGCTCAGTTCCTGCTTTCAAGAAGTTCTGAAGTCCAGAAACAGTGGGCCACTAAATCAGCCTGCTTGTTGAACCGCCTGATCGTGGAAATCAGAAACCTCCAGCAAAGTGGGGGCTGGGGCACTGCCATGCTGGACAGCTGTGCTGTGCATCCTTGACACTGGCATTCCCAAGTCCTTTTAGTGAGATCTGCTGTCTGCATGGGGGTCACCAGCCAGGTTTGAACAGA